TGAGCTGTGTTTGCCTGTTTGGGAAAGTTGGTTTGATTTGTCAGATGCATCAGGTAGCCAAGGATGTTGGTTTGAACTGCAGTTGTGAGTGCGTTTGATTGGGACATGTAGTGAGTCATTGGAAACGACCTGAACTGTGTAGGAAGTGGAAACTGTTTTGAACTGTATTTGAAACGAAACAGGAAACTTTGTTGTGAGTTTGTTTTCATGTTTTTGATCGGAGTTTGAACAGTTTTGTAGTGTCGCAGGCAGGTCAGGTATGACTTACGTTCTTTGGATTGGTGCAGTTGTGTGTGAAACCTGGTACAGATGCAGAGAGGGTCCAATATACCTGAGACAGGTAGATACTCTGAAGTTGTTGTCAGACTGACTGGACTTTGTGTGAAGACAACTTGAATGTAAGTATTCCCTTTTGGCTTAGAGCAATCATACCGTACCTCTCTAGATGGATGGACGAGCACGGAGGTTTCTGCAAGCCAAATTTTAGCTGTGAGACGAGCTCTATGGTCTTTGTAGCGATGATTGCCAGTGTGGTTTGCCTACGATGGTTGTGGCATTTCCTTTGGTAGAGATGTAGTTTGAGAACAAGATGCTTGTGATGTTGGTCGACCCCGGAGGGTTTCCTTTGCGAACCTGGGTCATGTTGATTGGACATCTTGTACTACCAGAAGGCTGGCATGGAGTTTTGCGAGATCTACAGCACTGGAGCTTTGCAGAGGATCCTGAGAGGAAGTAGAGCGGTAGTGTAGTTTGTGCGTTTGCGTGTTGCTCAGAGTGAAAAGCAAGAGAGGGAATCTGGGATTTGAGATTTGCAATTTTCTTTTGAGTTGAAGAGTTTTGACTTACAACAGAAAAGAAAGAAATGGGCTGGATGGCAGAGGCGCTGCATAGGTCCATAGGGAACTGGACGGCAGGGGCGATTACGACTTGCATAGGTTCCGAAAAGGAAAAGAAAAGTTGTAGAAAGTCAAAACGTGGACCAGATTGCAAGACGTTGCAAGGTTCACACATGAGCTAGATTGCAGACGTGCATAGGCTCAGAGAACAGATTTAAGTAAAAGAGAGAACAAAGGGAACTGGACGGCAGGGGCGATTACGACTTGCATAGGTTCCGAAACGTGAGACTGACTGAAATGAATGTAAATGTGCTGTCAGTTTGTGGCTCGACATACTGTCTAAGTGAGAGACGAAGTATGGAGCTGTCTATTATGCTGGACTTGACGTGACATTTTGTCTGGACTTCTCATGTTTGTGTAGGTTTCATTCCACCGTTGCTGTTTTACTATAAGACAACTTTGGCTCAGTGTTTTTGCATTTCAGCTGCCCTCGCGATAGCTTTGAGATACTATGGCAGTATGGCATCACGGCAATGGAATCCATTCGTCTTTGGTTGGCGTTGACTCCTAAGCAGTTTGAGGACTTGAACAATGGCAAGGAGATTCAGCCTGACGAATATTCCAAAAGGTTTGGACTACGAAAAGACCCGGTTGCTGCCGTTGAGCGTGCTCAGTACTTCAATGATTGGACACCGGAAGGTCCCAAGGGTGAGTTTTGTGCCAAAGACTACGTTCTGGTCGAGGTCGAGCCGCCATTGGCTATCTCCAGAAAGCCGAGGCGGGGATTCTCTTGAAATATAAGCCCAACGAATACCGTTGGCAGGGGACGATGAAATCTGTAGAGTTTGACCAGTACGGAAACTTGTTATACAAGTTTTCCGCGGATGCTCACCAGATCATATGAGTACAGAGGAAATGTCCTCCCAATGTATAGGTTTTTTGTAATGGTTCCAGGTCGGGTGGTAGTGCTAGGCTTGGAAGCCGACGATAGCTGCGAGGAGAAATGCAAAAGCTGTGATGAAAGAGCTGTCAAGCTGAGATTGGAGTGAAATGACAATTTTGGGATGTCTTGGAGCTTTAGAGTTTTGGACGATTTCGGACTGGACGGAACTTGGACTTGTGGAACTCAGTTTGAGTGGTTTTCTGTCAGCTGTCACGAGTTTTGCATGAGTTTTCATTTTTGCTGCATGACATGTCTATGGGTTTTATACGCGCGGGAAACCACGGTGATCTGTTTTGCAGTTTTGTGAAGAGTTGTGCATGCATTGGCAGTTGGATCTGGATTGAGTTTGCGGTTTGCCACAAGTTTGCATTATTTTTTTTCTGTCTGAGACATTGGAGTTTGGTCGATCACATATTACCTGTCAAGATGTGTGGCACGCATCTTGGGGTAGTATTGAGTGTGATCTTTGTTGGAAGTGTGATTCATCTGTTAAGGTGTGCGTCACGCACCTTAGGATGAACAAGAGAGAGTTTGTGCTTGGCATGGCATGAAATGGCTGAGTTGTGGTCTGCATGGTCATTAGAGGGATTGTCAAGTTGAATTGCAGATTATGCCCAAGCTGTATTTGGGCCCCGGCTTATCCCAGCGGGTGCATCAGGCCTTGTCTAGGAGACTCGAGCAATTCATGGCAGCGAACGCGGCAGCTTCCGCAACTCCAGCAGCCCCAGCAGCTCCATCGACAGAGGGTGTAGAGTTTCCTGTGTCTGAGAATCCAGCGCTACCGGCGCAGACAGGAGCGGCTGAGACGGATTCCGAGAAAGAGAAAGAACAGGATACTATCCATGTGGATGGAGATGACAAGGAAGACAAGGATGAAGGAGATGCTGGAAGAGATGATGACAGATCGAGATCTCCGAGGTTGAGAAGGCATCATGAGTCCTTTGATCCCAATGAAGCGACCGACCTGCTGAATTCTACCACAGGCTTGGCTGTGGGAATCACGTCCATGGTCGCTGCGCTGAAAGGGTCGACGGACAAACTTGAGACTCTCATTAAGAGTACCCATACTCTGCAGCATGACCTTTGCAGATCCCTGGAAGCCGTTGGAGAAGCCGTCACTAACATGGCACGTGCATCCGAATCCCTGGCTGCTGGTGTGAACCACAACACCAGCAGGGTGGGTGCAATCGTGGGTGAATTTACCAAATTGAAAAAGCATGTTGAGTGGTCGCTTGACGTCTCGATGAAGGACGTGCTCAAAGACAACAAGAAAGGTCGCATGGAGAGAGACCAATCTTTGCAGGACATCATGACCCAGCTCCATGAGTCAATGGACAAGCTACAGGAAAACCTGAAGCTGGTTGCGGAGAGGATTGAAAGGGGGACACCACCGGCAGAAGTACCTCCAGCGTATGACCCTCCGCAGCCGCCCATGGGTCATCCGGGGATGTCACAGAGCAGTCCACCATTGGCACCTATGACGCCAGCTGCACCTGGCCCAAGTCTCCCACCGCCGCCGGCAGTGCCGCCAAGACCTGCAATCCCAGCACCACCGACGTTGCAGACGGTGAGATTCGCAGGGTATAGCCCGGCAAGGATGGGCGAAGTGCCAATGAGTTATCCCCTGGCTTTGGAGGTGAAAGACATGAAATCACCACCTACTCAGGTGATCGAGGAGGTCACGGGGCGTATCAGATCTGTTTCACCCACACCACGTCACGATCCTCTGACGGGGACAGCAGCGTTCTCCCCTCTGGGGTATATGCAGATTCAGGGGACGCGGGAATACCGCAGGGCATACCCCTGATATCTATACCTGAGCAAAGTGCCAAAGGCACTGGAATTCGCCTGGTCTAACGACAAGAGAATAGTTGATTTTGTCAGCTCGAGGTTCACTTGTTGTTTTCAGAAATGACGGCATGGCTGAGCGCAGGCATCGGATTTGAGTTTAAAAGGGGGCGAGACACGCCGACTGACTGACGCAGTAGATATAGTTCTGTCTACATACTTTGGTTGTTTGAGGTTCGTTTTGTTGTCATATGTCTCTCAATGACGATAGCGAGAGCAACGTTCTTGAAGGCATTCAGAACGCGGAGTTGCTAGCAGATCTGAGGGAGACATCATGAAGAAAGGTTGAGATTGTTCTTGATTGGCTTGATTGCGATATTTCTCATGTTTGAGTTGATGTGTGCATGTCTTGAGTTTTGTTGCTTGAAACATGGAACTTGATGTTGTGAGTGTTTTCACAAACATTTGGTATAATTATGTTGTCATGGCACATGATGAGAACCTGGGAAGAAACTCGGAAGGAATCTGAGTTTAAGTATCGGAAAATCTTCCGGGAGAATCTGATGCCATGATTGCAAACATATTACACACCCTTTCAACGTCTGATCCATCCTAAAGATCTCGGAGGTGTGATATGTCTTGTTTGAATCTATGGACAGAATAGCTCTCCCAGCTTCTTCATTCTGTGCCAATCTTAGCTAGTCCTGACCCTGACGGTGAGAGATTCTCATTCAGAACATTTTGAATTTGTTGTGCAGTGACTGTGAACTGTACTTCACTTGCTCTGAATTTGAGATGGATACTTCTGCATGCAGACGCTACCTTCTCTCTGACGTACTAAACAAGGCCTAATTTGTAATTAGGCCTGGTCTGTATATAGCTACCTTCACCTCTCCTTCTACTCCTTACGCAGCGACTCCGTCCACGCGTCCTCCTGGAACCTTATCCAGTTTAGCTTCTTCTTCTCTTCAACTTGACTCTCCCCAACTGCGCAACCAAGAAAAAGGAAACCAAAAGCTGCAAATATTTTATTTGGTCAGCTTTCCTTGGCGCAGGTGTTGGTTTGAGTCTAAGTTGTTTTAAACCTGTTGTTAATGATCATCTGAAGATATCACAGTGGATTCTTTCTGAATCTTCTATGTGTTTGATACTTTAACTTTAATGTTTGAATTTGATTGAGGATACACTATCGTGTAGCTACCCCGGTTCATAGGGTAGGTGGGTGGGTTTCACCAAATTTGACACCAGTCGAAAGTGTGGCGTCGGGGGTTTATGCCATGTTTTGGTTTTGACCGTGGTGCTCCGGCGAGGAAAGGAAAAGCCTTGTTTCTGGCTCTTGCAACAGAGAAAGCTCAAGGTCATTATTTCAGTGGTCAATCTTTTTGCACTGGATTTTTGATGGGAGTGTGCTTAGTTTGCTGGATTCTTTCGGCATGAACTTTGATTTGACTGGTATTGCTAGTGACGATGAACCGGGTGTTGAGCGGAACAGACCCCTGAGGGGATATAGGAAGAGGTGGCGTCCCTCACCTTCTGCTGCAGCTGAGTCTCAGGAAGAGATCTTGCATTCTGAGCCTGGAGGGGATTTGGAAGAAGCTGGCCCCTATGGCCCTGCGGAAGTTTTTGTTTTTGGGGAAGACACATTCTGTATCGATGACTGGATTCACGTTACAGACAGTTTAGCAACTGGTGCAGCTGAACAATATGAGCCGTCTTCACCTGCAGACGAATTGGAACCTCCAGTCGGCACAGTTGCGCTTGCAGGTCCACAGGCTTCTGAACCGGCGTGGCAGCAGTGTGCAGCCTCAGCTGCAATCAAGCGGCAAAGGATGGAGATGCCTAAGCTACCCTGGGAAAGACCACCATTTGATTTTGTTTTTCGCACAGGTGACAAATGGGACGGTACAATCCTGGCTGGATACAATGATTTGTTTGCTCATACAACAGTTGGGTGTGCCGATGTTTTGAACTCACAGCTTGCTCCTGAACGAGATACAGCTGTGGGTGGACGGGTGGAGCAACCGCCTGTGGTCCGCTTGAACTTCAAGAAAGTCCGGACAGAGCTGCCAGATGAGGACATCAGGCGTGTGGCCTTGTCCAAACTAAGGGACATTTTGCTTCAGGATCCATTGGCAACTCAGATTGGGACTGGTATCAACAACATCCTGAATGGTGGAGGGGCGTATCACTTGGTTGAGCAATCCATTGGTGACTGTTTCAGATCCAAAGCCTCCTCCACCTTGCAGAAGCGAGCTGGATCGCTGTGGCGTTTGTGCAAGCTGCTACGACTGGGAGGAACCACAAACCCTCTTAGGCTTACGGAAGAGAGCTTGTATGGAGCCCTATGCACAATGAGGGAATCTGGGGCAGGGGCTACATCTGCCCAACATCTGCCCAACATGCTTTGGAAGCCCTGGCATTCTTGGACTCCACGGCCAAACTTTTGCTGGTGGACCTGCGACAGGTCGTCTCTGGAAGGTGCCGCGGTGTGGCTCGTGACATGTACCTCACAAAGAATCCCCTTGAACAGAAACATCCTCTCAAGCTTGCGCATGTGAGACATTTGGAGCTTTTGTTTCATGATTTACCAACCACGATGCAATGCATTCTGGGGCAGATTCTTTTCTGCATTCATGCGTGCTGCCGTTGGAAAGATTCTCAGCGGATCAAGAACTTGAGCATCGAAGTGGGGCATGGTGAATCTTTGATTCACGCTGAAGCAATTGCATCAAAAACTGCAGTGAGTGCAGAAGCAAGAACCAGGTTCTTGCCATACGTGGCTTTGGGCACAGGTGTTATGGGGACAAATTGGGGGTCACCATGGCTTTCAGCCAGACTTGCAGATGGTTTGGATCTTTCAGATCATGCATTGCCGAGTTTCTCAGAAAGGACCCTGGCTTGGACCTCAAACCCGATGAGTGCCTCGGAAGCCACTTACTGGCTGCGTGAGTTCCTTGAAGGAGCGCTTGAACCTGGTCTGGCCCTCAGGTTTGGATCGCATAGCTGCAAGACTACGCTACTCACCTGGGCAGGGAGATCAACCAAGATTTCCTTCAGCCCAACAGAGAGAAGACTGTTAGGCCACCACTTGGAGCAGAACATGAAGTCAATTCTCACATATTCACGTGAAGCTTTTACAAGCCTTTACTCAAAGGTGTTGTCCATGTTCAAGTGCATGCGTGATGGCAGTTTTGACCCTGACCTTGCAGCAATCGACAGGGTAGTCCAGCTCTCAGACGGTGCGCCGACTGACCAGCCTGTTGACCCACCTTCCAACCTGGCTGAAGTTGCAGTTCCAAGTGATTCTGAGTCTAGTGTTGCATCAGAATGTGGAGAAGTGGAGCAGGACCCACCTTGTCAGGGCCAGTTTGAGGGTCCAGAGAGGATTTCCCTCTTTCCTGACTTTCCCGGCGTTGCCGAAGATGCGCTGCTGGTACATCGAGTGTCGGGCTTAGTTCATGTGCTGAATGAAGACAACGTACTTTTGTGTGGGCGCATGCCATCGCTGAATTTCAAAGAATATGCCTGCTCCATTTCAGACCGTGGAGTATATGAGGGCTGTGCTCAGTGCAAGAAGGCTTTTGGCGGCAGGAACCAGGCCTAGCACCAAGCTCAGACTGTTTCATCGACCAACTTCCGACGAAGGAGAAAAAACGGTCGAAGCAGATCTTCCGTTGTTCTCGTGTCAGTGAACCTAGGTGATGGCACAACAACAAATTTTTAAACGAATCTAACATAGCTGTCTCAGTTTTGGTTGCTTGTTTCGAAACGTGAAACAGATCAATTGGAAAATGCAAACTTGGGCACGTAACTTTAATATGTGCTGAGTTGCATGTCCATGCTAGGTGCCGACATATGTTACTTATGTAACGTAGTCCACTTTATAATAATGCCATATACTGCATGTAAAGTCCTTGGGGGCAAGTGCATCTAAGAACCTAGCTGTTGCACACCAACTCTTGATGCCCTGCAGCGGAAACCTGATGATGTCCGCGTCTTGGCAAACTATCAAGGAGGAGAGTTGGAATCTGTCCTCATGTGTTGCATGCATGGCTGATGTTTCAGCTGAACCGCTGTTTAAAATTTTGTTGGCTGATGCGTTTTCATTTTCACGTATTCCAGGTCCATTTCTGAAGATTCGAAAGACGTTCAAAAAGGGCTGCAGTGTTGTGAGCGTTTTGCAACTCTCTGGATTTTGGAAAGCAACGGTTAACATGTTTCTCCCCCTTCTCACCCATGGACCATTGGTCGATCATGCGGTGTTGAGCCATGTCGTCAACACTGGATTCACAAGCGGCATTTACTGACCGCGCCGAGACAAAGGGGGTTCAGAAATGGATCATCGAAAAGGACAAGGACAGAAGATTTGTGACGTTTGGCAAATTAGCTTTTGCCTTCACTTATTCTCCACAGAGTGCTACAAATGAGCCACTGAAGAAGAGCCTTACGGACCTCTTGGAAGAGGGGCTGGCTGAAGCTCAGCTGGCAGCTTTGAGAAGGCTTTTCTTTGAGAGCCATACAACGGTGTTGACAGACGTCCGGATGTGTGCAGAAAGCAATCCTGACCCTTCAGCTACAACCCGCAAGCTTCCTGTTGCAGACAGAGTTGTTCGTCAGAGAGGGCAGGAAAGGCGGTTGGGAGGGATTGTCTTCAACCCCTGTACAATCCCCCCCAACCATCTAGTCGACACCTTTGTGGAGGTGGTTGAAACTGGAGTTTTGACATATGTCAAGGCTGAGCACTGTTGCAACAGGTCACAAGAAGTAAAAGCATTTAAGACGGAACCTACGGTGCCTACTGATGCATTGGGTATGCCGAAGATTGGGACCAAGCAGACAGATGCCTCTTGTGAGGCAATCAGTGAGCTGAAGTTACGTGCCGCATGGCAACGCAAGAACTTACTAATGGACCCAGCAGGCTTGGCTACGTTTGAACTTATTGAGTCGTGGACTCAGTACCCCTTCACCCTGCTGCTCAAAGAACAACCCAGGGGCTTTGCCAAGATCTCCTTTCAACAGTTGGTGGGCTGTGACAAACATATGTGGATCCTGGCTTGGGGCGCGGCACTTGGCAAGTTCGAAGACTTCACGGAGGTGCTTCAGTACCTGACTCCAGTGCCGGCGATGAGGAACAATGAGGCCCCCCAGCCATGTACGCCACGGCCCCACAAGCATCAGAAGGGCGAGAAAGGTCAGAAAGGCCATAGAAAAGGCCCTGGTGCTGCGACTGCAGCGCCTTTCAAAGTCCAGGTCCCCGAGGGACGTGTGACCCATGACAGCGAAAATAGTCCGCTGTGCGTTGCCTATCAGACAGGCAAGTTCAAGTTCAGGGGCCCTGCAGGAAGGAGATGCGCAAGGGGATACCATAAGTGTTACGAACGTGGATGCCAGCGGCCCAAGCCGTTTTACCTTTGCAACCACGCCGACTGAATCTAGGACATGGAGGTTTCACAAATGCACAATTCAGACAAACAAAGTTTTTTGTGAAAATTTTTTGCAGGCCGAGGCACTTGGTCTCGTGCCATGGTTCGGGCTGGATTCTCGGTTTTGAGCGTTGACCATGAGAACAATGGAGCTGTGGTCCCACTGGTGTTGGATTTAACTTCCAACAGTGGAGTGAAAGTGCTTGGGGACATTTGGTCCTCACCACATGTGGCTGCGGTGCACCTGGGATTGCCCTGTAAAACAGCCAGCTTGGCACAAGAGCAGCCCGTGGCCAAAAACCTGGTTTTGCAAGGCACACCAAACTCACCTCCTCTGCAATCGGCATCGAAGCCTTTGGGATTGGTTGGTCTCAACCCCGTGCGCTAACAGCCTGCAGGCCAGTGACTAAGAGGAACTCTTTGCACTTTGGCCTTGAGTTGGTTCTGTCTCCGTGAGCAAACCCTGTAAGGCTACCAGCTTCCAGCAGGTGTGCTCCACCTGCTGTTGTTTTACTTTTCATCAAGCCAAGGTGGACAGTGCAACCAAACTCTCTGCCTGGGCAATACAAAGACTGGTCTTTTGTGTGCGTCGCAATATTGCCTTTAGCATAGAAAAAACCCAGCTAACCACTGGCTTTGGGCAGCTCGGGCCCTCCTTCTGCTCAACGCTCACCAGAGGCTGCCGTGGCGTACAACAGTTGGAAGAAAATTGTTTTCCATGCGTGTCGCCATGGGTCGTCGAGGTGCAAAAGCACAGCCTGGCGGGGAACAAAAGGAATTTTCGATTCACTTGCAGCAACTTGCCAAGGAGACCATGAGCATGCTCCTTGAGGTGCGCGTGAACAGGAAACTCATGGATGTCAAATACAGCAAGTGAAGTGGCTTGCCCTGTTTTACTGTCTCAAAGGATTGCTACAGGTTTAGTCAAGGTTGTCTTGAGCCGTGGCCTGTCACTCCAACCTGTTTTACACTTGCACGACCTTGCAACAGAAGTGCCGGGCAAGCAATCCAAAAAGCACCACCCTTTGAGCCCAGAGTTCCACAGGGTCACCAAAAGGCCTAAAGGCGAGCAACTGCCTGAAGGCACCAAGCTTCTCCCTCCTCACTTAAGGGGTGTTTTTTCGGGAGGAGGATGAGAAAACGAACAAAGCAAGTGGGGTGACTACAGACGAGCATGCTCAGTTTGACAAGAGTGGATACTATCACACCCCACAGCAGTTTTTAGTATGGCAAAACAGACCTTGCACATGATGGACACCACCGACCTCCTTGAGGTGGAGTGGAAGAAAAACCTGCTTCAGGCCAGACTGAGGGGCTGGAAGCTTTCGCAGTTTGGCGGAGGCGTGCCGCACTTGGCAGGGTCAGGCTCCCTGTTGCTGCTGAGCATGTTGCTTATTTGGAGCAAACCGCAGAAGAAAAGCTGGCAGCGGGTTTCATGGAAGGGCCCTTTGAAACAGAAGATAAAGGGACCACCTATTTTGGTCAGGTCATGGTCGACACGGCCACGGGGGAGAAGAAAGTCTTCTCCGGTAGAGTGCCGCTCGCGTTGCTGAGACGCCGGGAACAGTTAGTAAGCGAGCAGATCACATGCCAAATAGAGCCTTATGCAATGATGGCTCTGTGTTGGATGCCGAAAGACACCTTGGTTGGCCGCAGAACCGTTTGGTGGGTTGACAGTGAGGCAGCACGCTTTAGCATGATCAAAGGTCAAAGCCCGAGCCCAGTGATGAGGTGGCTGGTAAGATAGTTTTGCAACTTTCAGGTGGACACACCCACCTTTGGTTGGGTAGAGCGAGTGCCACCCTACTCAAAAGTCACTGATGGACCTTCACGGGCCCAAACCTGAGGTGGCGATGCACATTCTTGGCATCAACAGTTGCCTGTCCTTTGAGCACCCTCCTGAGTTGGATGCCTGCCTCCGAACGCCTAGCTGGTCATTGAGTGGGGGAATGTCCGACCAGCTGAAATGTAAGCACCTGCAGCTTCCCAGTCAGAATGGTCAGCTCTTCGAGACAAACCAGGAAAGAACCCGGACAAAGTTTTTCCGAAGTTTCCTCTCCGAGCGTGTGACGCCCTCAATCGAGACTCAAAACCCTGGACCACTTGCGTTTGGCGAGTCCCTTTACGGAGAACAAAAAGGGCCGCTCTCAGATGTCAACTTCCACAATTTGTCGTTTGCAGATCCTTTTCACTGATGTTTTGCGAGTGCACGTTTTTATTTTCGGAGTTCACGGTTTTGCGTTTAGGTGCGAGCCCCCCTTTTTTGTCAAATGCGCAACTGACGTCGCAACAAGGGGGAAACAACCCAACGTGTCGCAACTGAACCAAACTGTAAATTTTGCGTGGCTTTTAAACGACTGCGTATTTAGGAGAGGTCTTAAGGTGTGAAGGTTAATATATATACAGACTTTAGTACACGACAGGAGAAGGATACTTCTGCATGCAGACGCTACCTTCTCTCTGACGTACTAAACAAGGCCTAATTTGTAATTAGGCCTGGTCTGTATATAGCTACCTTCACCTCTCCTTCTACTCCTTACGCAGCGACTCCGTCCACGCGTCCTCCTGGAACCTTATCCAGTTTAGCTTCTTCTTCTCTTCAACTTGACTCTCCCCAACTGCGCAACCAAGAAAAAGGAAACCAAAACCAAAAGCTGCAAATATTTTATTTGGTCAGCTTTCCTTGGCGCAGGTGTTGGTTTGAGTCTAAGTTGTTTTAAACCTGTTGTTAATGATCATCTGAAGATATCACAGTGGATTCTTTCTGAATCTTCTATGTGTTTGATACTTTAACTTTAATGTTTGAATTTGATTGAGGATACACTATCGTGTAGCTACCCCGGTTCATAGGGTAGGTGGGTGGGTTTCACCAAATTTGACACCAGTCGAAAGTGTCCCTCCCTATCCCACCCCACTTTCGGGGAAATGTCCGACCAGCTGAAATGTAAGCACCTGCAGCTTCCCAGTCAGAATGGTCAGCTCTTCGAGACAAACCAGGAAAGAACCCGGACAAAGTTTTTCCGAAGTTTCCTCTCCGAGCGTGTGACGCCCTCAATCGAGACTCAAAACCCTGGACCACTTGCGTTTGGCGAGTCCCTTTACGGAGAACAAAAAGGGCCGCTCTCAGATGTCAACTTCCACAATTTGTCGTTTGCAGATCCTTTTCACTGATGTTTTGCGAGTGCACGTTTTTATTTTCGGAGTTCACGGTTTTGCGTTTAGGTGCGAGCCCCCCCTTTTTTGTCAAATGCGCAACTGACGTCGCAACAAGGGGGAAACAACCCAACGTGTCGCAACTGAACCAAACTGTAAATTTTGCGTGGGCTTTTAAACGACTGCGTATTTAGGAGAGGTCTTAAGGTGTGAAGGTTAATATATATACAGACTTTAGTACACGACAGGAGAAGAGTTGCATGAGTGATATTACTTCACTTGCGTCTTCTTTTCATACGCCTACCTTCTTCACGAAGGTGCGGATTAACTGAAACAGTTGGCCTTTGTTTTCGTGTTGACTCCGATTGTGCGACATTAGGTTTCGTCTTGGGTCTCGTGTGTGTGTGTTTGTTTTGTTTTGTTGTTGTTGTTGTTGTTTCGTGTGTTGTAGGAAGACAACAGCACTGTAGATATATCGTTATCGACGCCATGGTTTATCCGAGGAACTGGATTTTGGAAGACGAGCTTAGTACGGGAAAGACTTTAGGAGTCTTTGGACTGAGTCTGGTATTCCAACATCTGGCTTTCGCGACAGAGAAGATTTTGAATTTGGAAGTTACGACATTATGCATGAGTCAAACAAGATGAGTTTAGGACGATATTTTATCGTCTACCTTGCATTTTGGAAGTCCGTGTACTTCTTTGGATATCTTTTGATCATGGATATGATCTGGAACGTGAACATTTTCTGCGGATATTTGATTGGTATCCGTATCTGGAAGTGAGGTGAGTGGATGAGATGTCATGTCGAAAGGGGGTATGGAAACTTGACACCCTGTGTGAGCACCCTTTGGGTAAGGGTGAAGCGACATGTCATTCATCATTGGTTGTATAGTTTATGCACAGAGGATATGTGGAAGGTTACTGCAAGAAGTCATGAAAGAGGTAGAGAACACCCTACTTATTACGGAAGGAATCTTGTATGTGACCATCCTGTGTCACAATATTCTATTGGTCTTCGGACTTATCATTTCTGACATCAGGATGATGTCATTGATCAGTGTTGACCAGTGATTGTGGTATATGGATCAGTTCTACATCTTATTCTGGATTCGACTTGAGTCTGGTACGGCTTATTGCCTGAACTGAAGATACTTACATTGGTTCGACATTGAGATTATTTCTTGTGTCCACGACGCTCCTGGACACGGTGTATTGTGAAGCTCATTCTCTCCAAGTGATGAGAACACAGCTATAAACTCTTGGAGAAGAGTTTAAGCTAGCTGGAAATATCTGATGGAGAGAACCTATTATGCTTTGAACTTGGACCTTGAGATGCATTGGCATTGTGAGGACAATGATCATATTTGGGCATCTTATTTGTTTGAGTTTTGTGATGAGATGTTTCGGTATTGTGAGGACAATACCTACATCATCGTCATCGTGGCCTATGGATCATGCACTTGATCTTATGGTGTGCTTTTTATCGTTCCTGAGATGACTTTGATTATCTCTATGAGGACGACATTGTTCTGACACGACTTTGATCTACACTGTGGATTGGCTATTACAGTGGTCGAAAGACTTCAGCGATACAACTGTACTTGGCTGACCTACATTGACAATGTCGAATAGAACATTCTATTCTCCATTGAGATTGGAAGGTGTGAGATACTATCTCTATGTGGAAAACTGATTTGGAGAAAGAACTTTGTGTTCTGACTACGTTTTATATCCAGAAGAAGGTTGTACAGATACCTTGTGTGAATCACTTCGTTCTTGAGAAGTTAGTCAGCTTATGACTAGTGAGCTGGTTTTTCACGTTTGGATGAGAACCAGTTTGTTTTGAGAACTTTTGGAAGTGTTTCGATGATTTTGAATTCATCTAGTGAAATTGAGTTTTGTAGACTTCTAGCAGCTGGAATAGTTTCAACAAACCTTTATTTGAAGAACTTGAGGTTTGTTAACTGGAAACCTGAAATCGAGTTTACCAGTTGAGACATCGGCTCGAAGGACTGGTGTCAGAAGTTCATTTAATGAACAAGAGCTGCTGTGTCACATAACTTGACATAAGACAGACCGACACAGGGAACACGAACACATCTTTGTTCTTTCCCGCTTTGTGTTTCCTGTTGTGTTTTGTTTGTTTGCCTGTTGTGTTTGTGTTTTCCTTTGACTGATCGTGTTGCGTCTGGAGCGAAAAGAAGGAGCTTGACGTCAGCATGTGGGAGTCGAGGGAGAAACATTCCTTTTGACACGGTATTGCTTTAGTTTAATTAGTTTAGGGATTTACGCGCTGCGCTTGTGTTTGGTGTGCGTGGTTGACGTACGCGTCCGCCCGCGTAGTTCTGTAGGAATTTGGGAAGGAGCGTTGGATCTGACCGCAGATCTGTGCAAGGCGCTTTTTCTACATAAGTAGAGTGTTCTCTACCAATCTTCCATTTCTTGCAGTAACCTTCCACGTATCCTCTGTGCACCAACTATACAACCAATGATGAATGGCATGTCGCTTCACCCTTACCCAAAGGGTGCTCACACAGGGTGTCAAATTTCCATATAACTTGACATAAGACAGACCGACACAGGGAACACATCTGCCTTCCCGGTTTTGTTTGTTTGCTTGTTGTGTTTGTGTTTCCCCGTGACTGATCGTGTTGCGTCTGGAGCGAAAAGAAGGAGCTTGACGTCAGCATGTGGGAGTCGAGGGTGAAACAATCTTTTTGACACGGTGTTGCTTTAGTTTAATTAGTTTTGGGAATTTACGCTCTGCGCTCGTGTTTGGTGTGCGTGGTTGATGTACGCGTCCGCCTGCGTAGTTCTGTAGGAATTTTGGAAGAAGCGTTGGATCTGACCGCAGATCTGTGCACGGCGCTTTTTCTACATGGTAGCGGAGCTCTACGGAGCTACCCACACCATTCTCCGCTGACCCTTGTTGCAGTGTACTAAGGACGCCATCTAAGGTGAAGCTGAGATCGTTTGTATTGAGCTCCTGGATTTTCGCGAGATCTGTGTTGAGCTTGTGCTAAGGTTCTGAAGTGATCACTAGGTTGGTATGCTGCTGCTGTAAAGTCAAGGGCATCGAAGAGCTTGAGTATTCTCGATTTAGGTGACGTGTTTTTGTCTCACTTCATTTTTGTGGCATGTTGGCTGTATAAGGTCATTTGAAAGTGACTTGTCAATTGATTGCCGGAGATAACATGTTTTGGAATGCTTAGAGTATCTCGACAGGCTGAGGTTGGGAGTAAGTCCTGGAGACACAAGTGAGGTGTTTGGACAGTTAACCTGCCTGGAGATGAACATTGAGAGTATCTCGATAGGCTGAGGTTGGGAGTAAGTCCTGGAGACACAAGTGGAGTGTTTGGACAGTAGAGACTCCGACAACTGGCCTAGAAGTCTTTGAAAGTAAAAGTTGAGAAACCACTGGATTGTGATTGGAACCGAAGCGTTTAAGTTCAAGGAAAGTATCGCCATACCATCTGTGCGAAGAAAGGACAATCGCACCAACACCCGACCGTTGCACGAGGCAGTAGAGGACCAGCTTATTGGCTGGATTATCGGTTTAGAGAGGGTGACAAGCGTCTTGAGACTGGTACAGACTCTGATCGTTCTCTTGGAATCGCTTTTGCCGTTGCTTGAAGATGTTCGTCTGAGTGCGAACCAGCAAGACATCATAGCGATGTTCCGTGACCATCTCAGAGAGTTGGAAGCCGAAAAGCAGAGGCAGGCTTGTGAGATGCGTGAGCGTATCTTAGGCAGATACCACAGGTCATTGCAAGGTTGAAATACCTGTGACCCATTGCTGTGTGATAGATTTAGCAGATGTAGGCGATAGGGTTCCTGGCAGTCATGGTAAGCGTGGAAAATAGGTGACGACGAATGAGCTGCATGTGAGAGCATATTGAGTTGCGTGGCATGTGTGATTTGCAGTTTTGTTGTGTAAGAGGTTTGGTGACTTTGGCAAGAGAGAGAGAGCCCGGAGAGTCACTAGGAAGCTTGGTGATTTTGGCAGAGAGAGAGAGAGAGTGCCTGGAGAATCACTAGA